TATATATATATAATGTAATAGATTTAATTTATGTGCGCATTTAAAATAGAAAGTAATTTAAAAAAGAGTCAAATTTTCATTCACTATAACGTCATTTTATTTTTAAGTCTCTTCTCTTTTAAATTTTTTTGTTTTGTTTGTATGATTTTAAAAGCTTTATGATCTTATTGGTTTAGTTTTGTGGGTAATTGTAATTTATCGCATGCTGTTACGCAGTTAGTTATAAAAATCATTGTGAACAAACTCTATTCCGTATTCTATTCTTTAAACACAAGTGGTATTTGTTACAGAGCACAAATGTTCTTTTCCCACCGCTATTTTAAATCTGAAACTCGTTGGTGTTTCGCGAAAACGTAGCGAAAGATCATCTCTCAGTTTTTCTTATTACAGAACGAAAAATTCGTTATATGCACCCAATCTGAAGAAAACTCATTAATATTCTTTTATAAGCATTAAATTTTATAAAACAAGATGCAACACGAAAAAAAACTTAGTTGTAAAAGTAAAACCAATTCCTTAAACACGTTAACAGAAAGTAATTCGTTTTGTCAGTTTATGGAAAAATTCTAAGTAATAAAATACTGTTGAAGGAAAACCTAGGACAAGCGTTAACTTTCTTATCCGTTTAGATTTATAAATTTTTTTTTCATTTGTTTCTCAAATATTTTTAAATTTCGAAAGTGTAACACTGAATAATTCGAGAAAAAAATAAATGGAACATTCGTTATTAATTCCATAGATATCAGATTTATTGACTTCTATTATGTTTCTCGGGTTTTTCCGGCTTCACATAAAATTTGCTTTTTGATATTTGTGGCATCAATTTTTCATGATATATATGAATATATGCATAATCATTTCCATTTACTTACATTTCAAAATCTTTCAAATTAAATATCGATATAAGCAAAGTTGTTATTTTTCGTTATTTAAATAATTATAAGACACTCCTTTTTTATTTTTTTAAGCCAATTCTGGGAAAGTATAATAGATTTAATGATTTATAATATTTTTTTTTCAAAAAAAAAATTAAATAAATAAATAAAATTTTAAAAAAACTTATAAATGGAATAAATATCTTATAATACTCAAAATAATTACTCATTTTTCTAATGACTTGCGTCTCCCTACTTTAATGAAAAAAATATATAAATTACTTAACAATAAGATAAATATTCACTACCTTATTCTTATAAGTTGAAGTAGTAGCAGTTTTTTTAATCATAAATTTGCAACTAACAAAAATATTCGAAAACTTAAAGGTATTCAATGACCTATGGCCCAAATGAGTAATACAGAAACCAGTTGTTTTGCAATGAAATAATTACATACAATAGGGATTTCTTTTGAAATTATCAATTACTGGAAATCATAATTACTTAAGAATAAACGTACACAGATTATTTTCCAATAAAAATATATTTTGTTGAATTAAAAAATACTCCTTTATATATAAGAGGTTTCATAATTTAAACTCTGATTCAGACTCTGTACACGTAACTTTAGTTTCTATTCTAAGTCACCTCTTTCACAAAATTGTTTTTTCCTTGAGAAAAGGTATGTTTGCGGACGTGAGACTTTCTTTCGTTTAATTACAAGAGCAGGAAAGCTAAAAGTACCGCTAAAACATACCCAAGTAGGGAAATGTCTAACAAAACTCACGTCTCTTTCCCCTAATAGGAAGAAAGGACGGAAAATGTCCTCCTACCAGGAGATTAAAGTCAGTCTCTGGAACTATTCAGCCTTTTGAAAAGCTAAGTAAATATTTGATCTCGTGTTTAATCAAAAAGAAAATGTCTTAATCTTGTTGGAAGTTCCGGTCTACTCGGGGTACTAAGAACTTAAACTAATCGGGAACTTTCACACTGTTGCGTTTGAATGTTGTATTAGTAAAATTATAAAAATACTTAATCATTTATTAGATTTTTTTTTAAAAAATTATCTAAATAATTGCATTATTAAATTGATGTTTTTAATAAAAAATTCTATAAACAGGTTTTTTCCGATTATAGGTGTTTTTAATTGCAAAAAAAAAATATTTCTATTCAGAAATAATCGCTGATGTTGGTTCCCTTTCTTTTTAAATAGTTGAAATTCAAATAAAATTTTTTTTAAAAAAAACATGGAAATAAAACTAAAAAACTTAAAGCAATTTAATTTTTTTAATAATATTTACGGCAATTAAATGGTGGATAAACATATGCGTACTATTTTGTTAACGCAATTTTGATTGGATAGAAAAATGTAAGTTGCCATCAAAATCGTATTTACTTCGTGTAATTGCTGCAAATTATGTTACAACAAATAAAGTTAGTTAAGTGCGCTGCATGAAAATTAATTTTAAAAGTATTTGTTATTATTTTTTAAAAAAAACTGTACAGCAAAGAAAAATTTTACACCAGATATGTCTGCATGGTAAATAATTTAACATGAAATTATGAAGGAAATTTTTTTGAAAACAAATAGTTTCATAATCCAAGAGAAATTCGTAAGACTCTAATGATTTTTACTATTTACTACTTGTAATTAAAACATGATTACCGATTGAAGCCTACAGTTATATGCAGTATTATAAATTATCTGTAAGCTCTAAAAGGCTAGGAAAATTTATTATATACATTATCAGGAATTATCATTTAGCTCTAAAATGCTGGAAAAATTTACCATATGCATCATCATGAATTATCTGTAGTTTCTAGAATACCAGGAAAATTTACTATTATTAAAAACGTGAACTGAGAAAGTATGGTTATAATTACTAGAATGTAGTAAATCTTGCCGTGTTTCTAGCAGTATATAGGAATACCAAAGAGCTGGATAATTTTTCCAAATCACAGAAAGTATTTTGGTTAAATTAACAGTAAAATATGGTTTTACAATAAGTTAGTTTGATAAATCTGATAATATTATAATCCATTTATAAGCTTTAGCTTTTCAGTTGTGTATCTTTCACTAAATGTGGGATAAAAAATAACTATAATTTTGAAAAACCAGAAATTTCCGGTAACCGTTATCACGCAAACGGAAAAAATTACAAAATGAATACTTTAAATATAATTTAGTTTGGTTTTATTTACCATCAATATAATTTTTTTATTAGAAACTTAATTACCACAGAGTACAATAATTTTACCAGAATTATTTTCTTTGCGTATGGGTTATAACCTGACACACTGTAAAAATTAAATCATTACACAATAAAAAAAATCTATAAATAAATAATTTAAAATAAAGTTATTACATTTTACATCTAAATATATTCTTCTACTTATAGCAGGAGGAACTTCATTGCTCGCCAAACACAAATAAGCTGCCATATGATTTCTACTAATTGAGGTTAAATTGAGCTCTTCACTTATGTATTCTCGTACTGTAAATAAAAGATAAAATATTATATCACACTCTACGCACATGTACACATAATGAAACATAATGCATAAATAAAACCACAATCAAACGTCATAACATAACATGCATAATCAATCGAAATGCATAAATAAAACACTATGCAATTATCTTCAGATAGTTTTTATGCAAACATAAAACGCATTATGAGAAACGCATTGCGTAATGCGTTGAAATTAACATTTTATGATTTTATCTATATTATGATTTTATCCATATTATGTGTCATTGTAATTATTTGAAAGGCATGAAAAAGTGAACCAAAATTATAGTCACGATTATATTCAAAATTATTAAGAAGCTTTAATTTCTGAAAGAATGGTGGTCATCGTATAAACATTTAAAAAGAGATCAAATTAATAAATATAATTTTAATAATTTGAAAGTGGTAGACTGAAAATAAAGTAGTTTGAAAAATAAAAACTGTTACATTTTAAGCGGTATACATTTTTGTCAAAAATAAGTGAGGCAGTTTTCAATCCACCACCCGAGAAAGAATTAATGCTAAACAACTATATTTGATAGCCTAAATTTTACTACCTTTAACATACTATATATATTAAAAATGTACCTTTTTATATATTACATCATAAATACTATTAGTCAATTCCACTTCGTTTAACAATAATTTTAGTTATCAACAGTAAAATGTGACTTTAAAAAGTAGGTGGTTCCTTATTATTATATAAGTTTTTTTTTTCAATTTTATTTCTTTATTTATCAAATAAATATTTTGTAATTACGCCTAACTGTCTTAGTAAGAAATGTGAAAATAATTTTCTTTCCGTTATCTTATAAATGCCAGCGAAAGTTTATAATACCTAACTGTCCCTTTACCGCGTGTTATCTTAACTATAACTCATGATATCATAACAGTAACCCATCATGATGGGTTAACTATAACCCATGATATGTATCAACAGGGCAATCTTATATTATTTTCATGAATTTCTCAGTAAATTTCTTTGTAACAGTACAAGAAAATAAACAGTATATATTTATTTAAGCAGTTTTTCATCTATTTAACTGTTTTTTGCATTTATATATTCCAGCACTAAACAATGCTGATACAATTTAAGAAAAAATTTAAATTATTTTTTTACAAGCTTGCTACAAGCAGATACCTTTTGCTAACTTTTTAGCAAAACTCTATAATTTAGTTTTAACCGAATGATCCCTTTAAGCTCTCGGCTTCAGTTTTTGTTACATTACGAACGACCCTCCTTATATATTCACTTTTAAAACAACTAAGAAAAATTCTCCCCTCAACTTCATTTAAGGGTAATCCTATAAAAACATCCTAAGTATTTTAAACATTACTCAATGGAATGAGATTATAGACCCCAAGAAAATGTGACATGTTTTATACCCGTTTGACTTAAATAGGATTTTTACGATAATCCCATGTCATGAAACTTCTATATCGAGTTAAAAAATAAATCATATTTTCGCACCCTTTAGTTTTCTGATACTCGTCTGTTTACAAAACCTATTTGTTACCATAGTCCCCTGGAAGATAACGATTTTATAAATATATATAAAGAAGCCTTCTCAGATTTTCACGCCGGTTATCTGCGAAACACATTTCATTTTCTGTCATATTACATTTTTATTATTATTGCTAAAGACACTTCACTTTTCTAGAGACTAAAGACTTCCACGTATAAAGTTTTATATATATTTTTAAAAAAAAAAACTGAAAAAACTGGTATTTTTATATAGAAAATAAGATGGCAAAAAATATGTAATGTTGGATGGATCACCGTTACTGAAAAAGGTGACGGAACGGGTGACAAGGGATAAAACGTGAAAAAAATCAAAACTAAAAAAATATATATATAACTTATCTTTTTCCAAAAATGAAGTTTCAGAAAGGAATAGGAAAAAAACTGAAAAAAATCGTATAGAGTTCGTAAAGGTTACACGAGTCATGGCTCGTTGGAAGAAGTCTTGTTTTTTTCCGGTCCATTTTTTGCTGTCAGATCTCGGTGTCATCTACTTCGTTTCAATACAGATATATGTTTTCTGGGAAAGTTTGATACAAGATTTAATGGATTCTTCCCCTTTTTGAATTTACTTTCATATGGCCGAAGTTTTAATGATCTCTATTTTTACTACTTTTTGACATTAAAACCCATAGAACTGCCTATAAAAGTATTTATTTTATACTCAGTTCTATGGGTAATATTTTATTTTCTATTTAAAATATTTCATTTTTAGATTAAAAGAAAAGAAAACAACGTTACGATTTATTGAAAAAAAACTTTTTTCTGTAACTGGAGATTGTACATATGTCCAAAAATATGGCTAAAAAATGTACTTAAATTTAAACATCGCGTGTTCTACCTTTACGCTTGGGATTGAAAAAAGACATCGGAAATTAAATGGAAATTTCTACGAATGACAAATATTTGATTTCGATTAGAAAATCTGCAACAATTCGTTGTAATGCAAGATAAAGATTGTTCAGACTTGGAATTAGGAATTGTTGACTTCTTTGTGGCAATATTTTGTATAAGAATTTAAATCAGATTCACAATTCAGTTTTTGATATTTAAATTTCCATACAATTTCGTTAAGAAATTTTGCAGTGATGACCCCTAGATTAACGACATCGCAATTCTATGTCTCAACGCAATGAATGAAACAATGACAAACTTTTGGTATTTTAAAATGTATCGAAAAATTAGTTTTTGCGGCGTTTTTTTTTACGACGATGAAGTAAACTTTATTCCGGTGTGAAGAATGATGATTCAGCAGTTCAAAAAATAATGGCAGAAACAATGAGATCATGAATTAACTAAAGGCAAATTTTTCCGGAAGAAATGATTCATTATCGTTATTTCAATAAAAATGAAGGAATTTGCCTGAACGAAAGGGTTGTGTTAACTAAAACAGCGGAGAAAATATCCTGATCACAAATAAAAAAGAAAAATCATTTGTCATAAAATTTAAAATTATTGAAAATGATGTTTGAACTGGGCATATTAAAATTTATCAAAATAGTAAATGCGTATTGCAGTCACATAAACATAATTTTAACAGTAGACTGGGATGGAAAAACAGAGATCGAATAATTCAATAGTGATACGCCACATTAATTGAGAAAAATATGCAGCTGATGAGCAATAATATTAAATTTAAAGTTAAGAATTTTAAAAGTTAAAATTTGCAAAATATTTTAAAGCTTTTGTGCTGCAAAAGTATCATTAACAGTATGTTTCTGATAATGGCAAATTTAACGTATTGATTTAGACTTTCGATACGAATTTAACTTGGATTTTGGTTGAATTGGACTATGACAGAGATCAAATAGTTCAAAAGCGATGCATCTCATTAATTGAGAAAATCATGCAGTTTATGATTTAACGATATAAATTTGACAATAAAAGTAAAAAATTTAAGAAATGAGTCGTTTCCAAATCTTTAAAAAGAAATGTAAAGCAGAAAGATCAATGACAGAAAATTTTGTTCCGGAAGATGTGGATTTTAATGTATTGAAACGGATTTCAGCAGTTTTTACGTTACTAAAATTACAATTCTGTTGTAAATAATACTGCAGCAAATCCACATTTTTTCACTTATTTTTAAATTATTCACTTTTTTAATATGTTAACTTTTACTGTTATTTAAATATTTATCTGCAGCTTTATCACAATTATTGAGACGAAACCTCTGTTAAATTATATCATCTCTGTTTTTCTCTTGGAATTACTGATAAAGAAGTGCATTTGTAGCAACAAAATACTCTTTAGTTTCAGATAAATATTTCAATTTGTAATTTAAAACTTCGTTTTCAGTCAGTGTTTATGACGATCTTAATTCCATAGAGATTTCATGGGAGTTGCATGAAAAAGGCTCGCTGTCAGCAATATCTGCACGCAAATACTCCCAGAAATAGATAACAAGGCAAAGCATAGCATACGCAGTTTTAAATTTGACTGCACTAAATCAGTCTACAGAAACTGCTCCTGCACTGATTGCATGTCAAAGTTCCACACACACTTTAAACTTAATATATATATATATATATATATATATTAATGAGTTTGCAGAATTGAGCCTGATCATACCGATTAAATACAAAAGATAACAGGGTCATATAATTTTTCGAAAAATATTTGATACATTGCGCAAATTCTATATAATCTGATGAAATGTTTCAACTTGAAGTACATTTCCAAAAGGGTACTGGATCAGAGTAGTCAAATCATAGTTTTATTCATAGTTACATTTGGAAGTAAAATAAGGAATCAAGTAACTCAATGTAAGGTGTTACTTGAGCCGAATTATAATTATTTTTGCTTGCTTCTTATTCAGTACAAAACTATACTGTCATAACTGTCCTAAACTCAAATCACACTAAAATTCGGTATCAGGACAGGCATATTTAAAAAACTATTTTCTGGAATCTTTAAAAATTAGGTACAGATTATCCAAGTTACCCTGATTTAAGGTTTGCTTATAGTATTTGGTTACTATTTCTAAGTTTTATTTTACGTAAACTAATTTTTGCTTAGTCGTACGATTGAAGTCTTCTCCCGTCTGAGACGAATTTTATTTGACATCTTTTTCCCAGAAGACTGTAATTTATCCATTTAAAAATCGGTTTAAAATTTATTTTCTGACAATAGAATGAATGAAATTTAATTATAAATTTATTTATGTAATTAATTAAAATGTAAAAGCCGTTGTGCATCAGGGTCTACGAATGAAGTGACCCGAGCGCGAGTCCCAACGGTGGCTGGTCGACACGAATTCTGCGACTGGCTTGCACTAACCACAGTTCTGACATAAAATATCCTCCGTGGTGCACTAGTTTGAGGCTTATCTTCAGACTAACCTCGGGAGGTTTTAGTGGTTTCCTCTCCATGTTACACTAATGTGGTTTAGTTTCATCAAAAATTCCATCACGAAGTCAAATTTCTCTCAGTAATTAAGCCAGGAATTTCCTCGCCATCTGGATTGGTTTTAAAATTACAAGGATACGATGTTTGACATTGGCTGTCATAAACTCAAAATTAAGTCGGCTGTTCAACGATTATTATAACTTTAACACTGCAACGGAATTGTGGATATTTCTGATAATTTTTACTAATTAATATCGTGATGTCATTTTATTAGTTTTACTCATTTAAAAGTGTTAAAAAAAGAGAGAAAAGAGAAGAAGAAAAATATCGTTAGAAATTATTCTTGTATGTAAAAGCAGCTTTAAATAAAGATGTGAACAATCCTAATAATTTTTTTCAATGATGCGTATTACAATTGAAACAAAATCTCGTATATTGTAGATCATTTTAAATATTTAAGCCACCCACTGACGGTTCTGCACGTAAAAAATCGCATTTTAACCTGCAGTCTTCTCTGCATAGCAAAACCGGTTTTCCCATGTTAACTGATAGGGGAACTGTGTGTAGGGGAGAAACATTCTCCCAATTTTGCCCATTTCCTTAACCGCCAGTGGGTTAAGCCATTTTTATGAGAAATTTGTTTGATTGTAAACATAGAGTTAAACATTAATTATCCTTTACTTATTTACGAGACACTATAAATATTTAAAAAATAACTTTTAGCATCAGTTAAATTGTGATAAAACATTTATTGCAAAAATGTATTATTTTAACATCACAAAAATAGCATGTAAGTTGTATGAATAAAACTTTTAGACATTGTTGCGTGTTGAATTTATTTCCACTATTAATTACATTATTTTTCTGAAAAATAAAGTTCCTAAACAAAAGATATAAACTAGTCCACTCCAATCGCATTTATTGGCTAAAAATTATCTAATCAATTAATGTTGTAATGAGTAATGACTCCATAGGGTAAATATCAATTGAGAAGCCCGTGTAGAGTTTTTATTCGTTTTTATTTATTTGCGGANAGTGAATATAAGATTAGAAAGCCTTTTTTTTTTTTTTTTTTTTTTTTAAGAAATCATTATTTTATTTTTTTTGTAATCATATTGTTTTATTTATTTATTTATTTTTTTTAAATGGAAAAATACCTCTCAAACCCGATTTCATAAAGAAACCTTGACTTGATGGAGAAAATCTCCACCGAGAAACCTATGCAGATGTGTTTCTTCTTCGAGTGCATATTCTTCAACGGAAAAATAATTTTCCATTTACTTTAAAAAGAAGCTTCGACTTGTTAAACGTCGATAATAAAACCCATGTAGAAGTGTTTTTTCTGCAACTATAAATTTTTCACGGGAAAAATAACTACCATTTTCTTCAAACTAAAGTGTCGATTTCAAGGGGAAAGCGTCAATCAAGAAATATATGTAGTTGCGTATTTTTTTTTTAATCGTGCCGTAAAATAACTGAAACATTTCCGTACTCTGCAATAATTACCGTAAAATATCGTAATTTATATTATTAAATAATTATTTCTGTAAAAATTACGGTACAATATTTTACGAAAAAAATGGATTTTACGGTAAGAATGAATTTCGCATTAAAATGGATTTTACGGATAGTGAACCCAAATAGAATTTTTTTTTCATTGTAAAAGAATTATCTGAAAAAAAGCTAGATATAAAAGCTGGATATCAATATATCAAATGCTCACTCGCGTTTGTATAAAAACCCTACCACCTTGCAATAAAATTCGTTAAGGGTCATTCTGGAACTAGGATACTATTAGAGATGATTTACAGAGATTCATCGAATGCTTTCGTAATTAACATTAACATTTCTATATCCAGATTCGAGTGAAATTCTCTTTGAACCTTACACTTGGGGAAAATATATGTATTTTAAAATTTTTAATTTATCATTTCTGTTACTATTTATGCCTAAATATAGTAACGTTTCGAGGTTTTAATAAAATCATTTCTTTTGCCGATTTTAATGATTTTTTTTCCGCTTTTCTGATGTGTTACACAAATATTTTTCTTAAGAGCAATACATTATGCACATATTATAAGCAGGAAATATTCAAAAATAATACAGAACTTAATAGAATGAATTCTTTCAGAGAAATATCTCTAATACCATTTTGGAAACAATTTAATGCGTCCGTATCATATTTTTTGTAATTAAATTTTAATGATATAAATAAAATGTATTAATGTGCCTATTTCATTAGCATTAATTTATACTTTATATTATTTTTCAAATTAAATTATACATTTCTATTTCAAGAATCAGGAAAACAATGGTCCTGTCTTATTTTTGTTTGTCGTTTTGCATTAAAAAATGCAGTAATTCATTAGTGCTGCCATCTATTTCTGAAAAGTCAATGTCGCCTTTCAATCATTGTGTTCAATCAATTCATTGTACAATTCCATGAACTTGACTTTTTGAAATATTGTTAAGAGACTTGGTCATAACTTTTTAAATCTAGAATAAATTTCCAAAATGAAAAAAACACCTCTAAATAAAATGCAATTTAAATTTATTTATAAGGAGAATATAAAATATCATGCTTTAATATTATATCAGCGCATTTTAATTTCTTTCATTTTAAGGAATAAATTATTTCTCGTAATGAACAGATCAAATAGTTAAGAGTTTTAGAAAATTATATCAGTCGATTTTGATAATTTTCTTATTACGCAGTTTATCAATTTATGTATTATGTTAATACAGCTTCCAACGTTTTTGGGCCTACATGCAGTTACATGTTGCTCATGGCATGTAATGATTATTTCGGAGAAATTTTATAAGGGATGAAATGGGAGGGGGATTTAAACTATTTTTCCATTCACACACGAATACAATAATAATAGTAAAAAAGATAACTTAAATCCATTTTGAAAAAAGAAAATTCTTATAAAAGAGACAGGAATTTAGAAAATTAGTACCACAAATTTTTTGCAAAAAAAACTTAATTTTTTGTTCGAAAATAGATTTACGCATAGAAATGAGACAAAAAATAATAAATCATTAAGAAAGTGACGCGAGGAAGAAATGTAAACTTTTTCATAAAAAAAACAAAACAAAACAAAAAACAATAAAAAATAAGAAGTTATTTGTAGCGACGCATTTCTACAATCTATTGTATACGCCAAAATTTTTAGCGTTTAACGACGAATCGAGATTTTTTGTACATTGTATTAACTAAAATTGCAATACGTTTAATTTTTATTGAAGCAATGTTAAAATGTGATCCTTTTGAATGCCATGGTGCTGCCATCTCTTGCGGAAAATGGAAAATAGAACATGGTAAATTGGCAGATTTATTCTTGTTGTAGAACATTTTTCAATAAATAATCGATTTCCATGGAAATGCTAAAATAAAATACGAATTTACATGGATTAGAATATAACCTAGCTCTAAAAGGGATTCCCCATTGTTGAAAATAAAAACGTAATTCTTTTAAACGTTCTTTGTGATTTTATTATTTTAGAGTATTCTAATGCTGCCATCTGCTGTTGAATTAAGAAACGAATTTTAAAAAAAAAATTCAGGTATTGTGTCAAATATATTGCTTGCCTAAAGGAAAAGAAAAGAAAAAAACTTTTTACGTTTTTAAAAATTTTAAAATAATATATAAATTTCATTAGTATTGATCTAAATTTAAAAAACATCTTCAGTATATAAAACTTTAAATAACTTCCCCATTTAAAACTTTTTAGCATCATTTTTTATATTTGTGGTTAAAATTCTTTTTATGTAAAATGATTTTTTCTTTCTTTTTATATCTTCCTTATGCGCTAACAAAGAAATTTTAAGGTTCAGAAATAAATTTGTTTTTGATGACAGTTATCTAACTAATTTAAATACATATATTTCTAAAAATAAGGAATTGATCAAAATACTTTAAAAAGGCGATTTGAGTTTTAAATTAATCATTCTGCTAGTCCAAAACAGTTTTAAAGGAGTTTTAATTTAATGGATGAATATTCTTCACAGTGATAGATACTTTGTAAGGACATCATCATTTGGAATCATATAAATAGCACATATCGCAAAAAGAATGTACATCCTGCTTTCAAAGGGAACAAAAAAATTCCATTGTAGCAATTAAATTTTCTAATAATGAACAAAAAATTTTGCTTCTATATTAATACACAGATTTGACTCTTTTTAAGTCAAAATGTATATTCAAATAAGTGTTTACTTTACCTAATTCATTCCCAACTGAGAAAGGCTGACCGTCTTCTCTTTTCCACTTTATGACAGGGGGTGGCTTTCCTGTAGCTCTGCAAGACAATGTGACGTTTGAATTTTCCATGACTGTTACGTTGCGATTTGCCATGTCAGTAACAAATTCTGGTGGTTCTGAAAAAAAAATCCACAACTTTATCAGTAAAAATTCTTATCAAAATAAAAATAAAAAATACTACTACTACTAATAATAATAAAATATAACAATTGTTATTCATATTAATTTATAGATTTAACAATATACATTTATGTCTCATAGGGTTCGATTAATACCAATTAATTATTCACGAAAAGCACCAGAAAAAATATTCCACACATTTAAATGGGTATAAGTACAAAGCTGTAGTTTCATTTATTTATTCATTTATTTATTTTAAATAAAATTATCGATAACCTTTCAGTTATTAATTCAAGTGACTTCCTTTCGGACTTATTTAACCTGAAATAAATTTAAGAAAGAATAAAAAATAAATAAAAGAAGCAATGTATCACTTTCTTAAATCACTTATGTTGTTATCATAGCAAAAATAGGTAAAAATTAAACTTTGCTCTTGTTTTTATATAAAAATTTTATAATTTCGACTTTATTAGCCCTATCGTAAATAGATTTGGTTTCATTCGATTTAGTGCCATTTTCAGAAATAATGCCTCACTTTTTTAGATAGTGACATTTAAGCTTCACTCACTACACCCGATAGTTCATCTTTTTTCTAATTCATTAAGGGCCTAAATCACGACTTTCAAAACAATTTTCAGCTTTTCCATACATATTCATGTATTCAACCGCTAAAAAACCTAACCTAGCACCAAAATTAGAATGAAGAAAAAAAACCTGTCCCAAAATTTTACTAAACTGAACTTTTATTTTCCTCTCAATGTGACCTTCTTCTCATTCCTGACATCGTCAACGATTATTAAGAAACGCTCCAGGTGACTTACTATTAGCGTATTTTATTTTAGGATATTTTACGTGGAATTCACGTAAAAGTTATATACAGTAACATTTAATCTAACGCAAACTGATTCCTATAAAAATGTTTTTACCTAATTTCGAAATGCAAGCTCTGTGCCGGTAGAAAGTATATTAATTTACAACTTTTCCGTATTTTTGGCGATAACTGAATCATCTTTAAATATTTTCAGAACATTGAGTTTAAATACTTTTACGTATGGTGTCGCCATCTATATTCTAATGCGAAGAATGACTCTAGACAAGAGAGAAAATTATTTTCTATGTATCACAAAAGGTATTAAAATTTATGCAGTATCACCATTCTCCATCTCAATTAGAAAATTAAATAATTACATTGCTTATACGTTTCCTTTTTATATTGACGCATCGAATTAATAAATAGCAAAATATATGCTTCTAACTACATTAAATTCACTCCACACATTTTAAGAAGCAAATTAGGCTCATACTATAGTGCTATGGGATGGGTCTATAGGATGAGTCTATAGGATGAGCAGCACATCCCACTTCTTCACTTTATAGAAAACTGTCTTCGATTATTTTAACCATATTTATACTCTTTACTTTGCGTGGGTGCACTAAACAAATGATGTTTTAAAAAAATTATTTCTTCACTTCTTTCGGTATTTTCGAAAAATTTCAGGTTTACTTTGTAATCTGAAACAAGTTTCAAATGAAATTTTCATTGGAAAAATTTGAAAAGTGTCCTCCTTTGTTTGTTTTTTTCATATATGCTCTTAACGTAGCATTATTTGAACAAAAAAATTCTTCTTAAAAATTTTGAGTTCATATTTTTTGACTAATATTTATACTTTTTGAAAGAATTGACGATAATTTTTTAATCTTTATCAAGTTTCAAATGAGTTCCTCTCCGCAAAAAAGCATTAAAAATATCGCAAATTGTCTTCCCTTTCGTCAATTATAATTGGTTATTGGTCTTAACTCATCATTGTTTGTAGTAAACAAATCATTCTTAAAATTTTGATTACTTATTTCTTGACATATATGGGAATTTTCAAAAAATTTACGCAATCCGTTTTCTTGTTTTTGTTTTATATTTACTTCTGTAAGCCTCATGCTATACTTTGTGGTGCATGAGGAGTTTTCAATCATTTAAATAAAAATAAAAATAAAATTTAAAAAAATAAAAACTTCTTCAATAATACACATTGATGTGCAAAAATATGTACCCAAAATGTTTAAGACGTACATTTTTATTTCAAACAATATTAGGTTAAGCGCTTGTTTATAATTAGCATTGTAGTAGACATTTTGTAAAATTTTAATAATATTTCGGATTGATAAATTCATTTGAAACTTGATTCAGATAAAAAGTAAGAGTCAATTTTTTTTTAAATATACTCATGAACTTACTTATGTACCCATACTTATAAAAAAATATATTACTCAATATAAGAAGCATTTGTTTAGTCATAACATGCTATGTAAAGAGCATGCATATTGTTAACCCAATTACATTTTTTTTTAAAATTTCTTAAAGCTTCTTGCAATGAGAAAATCAATTGAAACTTTTTCCAGATTACAAAGAAAGTGAATTCTTTCAAAAAATATCCATATATGTCAAAAATAAGTACTCAAATTTTTAAGAACGGTTTGTTTACGAAAAACAATACTATGTTGAAAGCATATAGTCAACATATTGGCGGACACTTTCGTGAATTTAATTAATTTGGAGAAGCAAGGATTTCACTTGAAACTTGTTTCAGATCTCAAAGTAAACACCAAATTTTTCAAACATCTATACAGATTAGAAAAAATAAATTTTCAAATTTTTTAAGAAGCATTTATTTACTTCAAACCATGCTACCTTAAAAGCATATATATAGTTAACATAACTAACGACATATTGTGAAATGTTATAATTTTTGGCAATGAGGAATTTATTTGAAACTTATTTCAAATGAAAATTTGAGCGTCATTTTTTTCTTCAAAAATACTAATATGTTTCAGGAAAATTTTTAATCAAAATTTTTAAGCTGGATTTGATTACCAAGTTAAGAGCATATATGTATAATTAACGTAATGAAGGGCGATATGCGAATTTTTTTTTTTACATTTTTGCAACGTGCGACAAATTTTAAACGTTTTTCAGATTATAATGCGAGCTTCAATGATTTTCAATGATGTCCATAAGTGTCAAGAAATAAGTAATTAAAATGTTTAAGAATTAATTTTTAGTCCAAACAATACTACGTTATGAGCATACATATAAAAATAAGGAAGGACATTTTGATATGTTTTTTATACTTTTTGGCAGTCAGGATTTCATTTGAATCTTGTTTCAGATTTCAAAGTAACCTTCAAATTTTTCAAAAACCGTCATAGATGTGAAATTGTAAATACAAACATTTTTTAAGAACCATGTGTTTAGTCCAAACCATGCTGCATTAAATCATTAATATAATTAACATAATGAAGGATACATTGCATTGGGAATATTTGCAATGAAGAAATCATTTGAAACTTTTTCCAGATTGCAAAATCAGCTACAATTTTTCAAAAAATATCCACGGGGCTCAAGAAATAAGTAATCAAAAATTTTAAGAAGGATTTGATTACTCCAAACAACGATGTGCTTAGAGCATATACATAATGAGCGTCAATTCCATCGAAAATACCCGATATAAATTTAAAAAAATATGAACTCAAAATTTTTAAGAAGCAATTTTTAGTCCAAACAATGCTAATTTAAGAGCATGCATTTAAAAATAAGGAAGGACACTTCGCAAATTTTTGTAATTCTTTCCAATAAGAAATTCCTTAGAAGCTTGTTTCAGATTACAAAGTAGGGGTCAAATTTTTCAAAAATTCCCGCCGTTGTGAAGAAATAAATAGTAAAATTTTTAAGATACGTTTGCTTAGTCGAAACCATGCTACGTAACGAGCTATGTTACTTCATCCCAACTAAGAGCTTATCAGTGTGGTTGAACTCTCATCCATACTGAAGGAAGTGGGGTGTAGCATTAATACTATAGACGAGAGGACATCGACTAAGAGTTGGGTCTAGTGCTTATTTTTCTCCTACTATTGTAATCATGATAAGATATAATCTTATTGTTTGATCACATATAACCATGAATACCAGCAATCATTTCTTGTCCTGACTACATTAAGAAGCATTAAGAAGCAAAAACTACATTTTACCATGCCTACATATAATCAGATATCATGGTTACTTGTAATTGTAATTACTTGTAATTGCGATTTTAAGTAATTGATTACATAATAGTAATTATGTGATAAAAAATACAGATGTTATCTTTTGCTGTAATTGACATCTAAATCTGGAAAATGTGCAGAAAACAAAGTCGCATTTAAGTCTTCAAACTGTCGCAATCTGTGTCACTCGATAAATCAGGCTCTAAATGCCGCAGTTACTTTACAATACCTCTAAATCTAACGCAAGTGGTATTTTCAAGGCAGTGTCATAAACGATAGGTTGTATCACCTGTGATCTCTATTACGAGATGTTGTCCTCCATTTTGGGGAATATGTCGCATTTAGGACATATTTTGAGAGGAGGAAAATATGTGATGAAATTTACCATTAGAAGGGGTTTTAAATATATGGAAATGAATCGGGATATGCTCCAGAGATGGGAAATTTTCGTTTCATTGCATTCAAGAATTAGAATTAAAAGTAACTGAACATTCTCGCATTTAGGCACATTGATGTATGTCCAATTTTTTTATGAAAGAATTATAAAACAAATTTCTCTCCATCATTCTGAAGCAAAGATTTTCTTACTTAGAAACACCTCTACCTGTCAACTCTGAAGATCGAACGAGTTTAAAAACCTATTTTTGCATAATGGTCAAAAGAAGCTCCAATTATCACGCGTTGTCTGTAGTGCAAAGAAGAATAAAGACCTTGCTAGTAATATTACTTAGTGATTCTCCAGTTTTTGATTGCATCTTATTGAAGAAATTAACATTATATTGTTTTAAAAAGAATACCTGTCATATTTTATTAATTAAAGGTACGATTAGATAATATACATATCCGACTAATTTTGACACATTTTTTTTAAAACTTGCTTAAAATTTTAATGTTTTGTTTGGTAAGCAGCGGTCCTAAAGTTATAAATTAGGTAAAGTTTAAAACTTTGTAAAATATTTTT